TGATGAATGCCTGGGTCCACTTCTTCATGTGTTACAGGGAGCACAGCAGTGACGTACCTCCTTCTTAGGAGCTATCACCCCCGGGGCAGAGATGGGATTAAGTTGATGGGACTCTTATACCACGGATGAATAGGATTTGAGATGTTTTTCCACCAGGGTCTGATGGCTTGCAACAAAATCAAGTCACTAGGCCTTTTCTGCATGCAGAGAACCTTCTGGGACATAATTGCCTTGAGTAGGAAGCAGGAGAACAGAAGTCGTCCACAGTGTCAGGATTTCACTGAGAGTTTGCTGGGGCTCAAGAGACCTGAGAGCATAATGGTCAGTGGCAGAGCCTCATTCTTCCCTTTCCTTTCTCTGGCAGTGCCCTCCACACACTCAGGAGAGAGAGCTACTCAATCTGCATGACAACTTCTAGAAAGAAGTGGGAGCAGCAAGGGTCTCAACAGGGGGCTAAGGCCAAAGGGTGAAGACATGCAGGCTCCAGTCAGTGAGGGAGAGGAAGGAGGAAATAGAGAGCTCCCAGCTTTGATGCTTGTAGGGATTATTCAATTCGGTGGGTTTGAGGTTCTGGGACACAGTGACCCTGTCCCCATCCCTGTTGCCCTGGGTTCCCATTTCCGCGGCCAGCAATGACTCAGCAGCTGTGCGGGATATTGCGCTGAAGCCTTGGGTTACTGTCTTCCCCCACATCACTGGCAGTTAGTGGGCAAGCCTCTTGGGCAGCCTTGGCTGATGAAACCTAGCACAGCAGCAGGAGAATGGGAATGCGAATTCTCAAGCCCCCACCCTCACCCTTCCTTCCTCTTTCAGGGGCTCAAAGTCTGGCAGGAGGAAGACCAGCAGCAACTGACTGGGCAGACTTCCCAGGACGATGCAGCCACTCCTGCTCCTGGTGGTCCTTCTCCTGCCTCCCAGGGCTAGGGCAGGTGAGTGACCGTCCCCATCCTCAGAGGCCGACACCATCCCATAGACTCTGGAGCCAGACCACTCAGGCACTCCCTAACCCTGTATCATTGGGCAGCTTGTATGAGTTCAGAGTTCCTCAGCTCCATCATCTATAAAACAGGAATTATGTCAGGCCTACCTCAGAGAGCTGACGTGAGAGTTAAATGACTTAGTGTACATAAAATCCCTGGAGTCGTGCTGGCACGTGCTACTGCTATATAAACACGCTCTCTGAACTCATTCTGCAGCTCCTGTGGCAGAGCCTAGGAGATAAAGATACAGCAATAGCAGGCCCGCCGGCTCATCCTTAGAGCCTTAAATTCATGAGCTGGCCGTGAGCTGGACTCACAGGGATCTGGAGACTCCCTGAGGAAGAAAGTACCACGGGACTGCAGGGAGAGGCTGCTCAGAGGGCTCCGGATCTGCCATCCCCACAGCAGAGGAACCTTCCTCATTATGGGAGGCTGCAGCTGGCCTTGCCTTCTGGGGAGGTGGGAGGGAGCTGAGGCTGGGATGGGGAGCCAGCGGCGTTTCCTGCAGACTCCTGGAGCCTCCCCCAAGGCTGGTGCCCTGCAGACCCAGTTCTCATGAACCACCAGCTTCTCCGGCCCGTGTAGCACCTCTCCTGCCTCGCCATCTTCTAACATTTCTGGAGCCACCAAGCCGAAGCCCACACACCTGTCAGTGCAGAGATAATTGCCTAATGCTTCCTTCCAGGGCAGATCATCGGAGGCCAAGAGGCCAGGCCCCATTCCCACCCTTACATGGCATATGTTCAGATCCAGACACCAGTGGGTCTGACCACTTGTGGGGGATTTCTGGTGCGAGAAGACTTTGTGATGACAGCAGCTCACTGCTTGGGAAGGTGAGTCACTAAGGGGCTTCTGGGCACCAGCAGAGCAGGTCCAGAAGATTTCATGAGAGGAGCCATTGAAAGCAGGGTTCTAGCAATAAAGGGGTGAAAAAAGAGCCGCTAGGGCTTGGGGAGCAGGGAGCAGGCCATTGTAAATGGGGAGAAAGGAGGACCTGATCAAAAAGAGCAAGATGGGGAGATGGAAGGCACGCATTGGGGCTCAAAATATGAATTCAAGCTCCTTTTTTATTGTAGGGGAGGCCAAATATAAGGTCACTGAGTTTCCTACCACCCACAGCTCAAGGCTGTGGAGACCAAGGGCATAGAGCCCAGCGCCAGAGCCCTCCTGTCCCCACCTCCCTTGGCTGAGGTCTCGCCACCCTGGGCTGTCACGTGACCTGCATCGGGGAGTGCAGTTCCTGCAGCTCAGACCTACTTCTAGGCTCCCTTTCCTTTGCAGACAAATAAGTGTCATCCTGGGGGCCCACAACATCAGGAGGTTGGAAAGGGCTCAGCAGCGCATACCGGTGCTCAGAGCCATCCCCCACCCCAGGTACAATCAGCGGAACAACCAGAATGACATCATGTTACTGCAGGTACCGACCCTCTGGTACTTCACCCAGGCGGCTCCCTCCCAGCTTGGGGGACCAGGGAGGGGGAAGCCAAGCAGACTCCCAGGGTGGTGGTAGGCATGGGGTGAGCATGGCATAGACAGTCCCTGAGTGCCTGCATGCTTCCTGCCAGCTGAGAAGCAGAGTCAGACGTAATCGAGCTGTGAGGCCGGTGGCTCTGCCGCAGACCCAGAACAGGCTGAGTCCTGGGACCCTGTGCACCGTGGCCGGCTGGGGCCTTCTCGGCCTGAACAGGAGAACAGACACGCTCCAAGACGTGCAGCTGACAGTGCAGAGGAATGGGGAGTGCAGTAGACGCTTCATGTTCTACACTGGCCGAACACAGATTTGTGTGGGCGACCCAAGAGAGAGGAAATCCGCCTTCCTGGTAAGACCACGGGCATCTGCCGACACTGTCCGAGACAAAGGGACGTGGGCAGACTGGGCAATGGGGACAGACTACATCCCCATGGCCTCAGTCTGGGGCCCAGAGCAGAGTGAGTTGGGGGACTTTTCCCCGTCAATCCGGTCTCTGGGGGAATAGCAGGTGCACCAGACACAGGGCGTACAGGTGCAGCGTTTTCCTGGGGCCGGTGAAGGTACCTTGACCTGGGTTGTTCTGGAGAATAACCATAGCCAGGGCTGAAGCCCAGTGATGGAAAAATCCAGAAGCTCGACTTCTGCTGCCCCTCACCCTCCCATCTCACACACAGCCAGCAGTGGAAGGAGCCCACCCACGCCTGTCTTCTCTGAGGGTGGGCCCTAGGGCCTCAGGAGCGGGGAGGCCTGGAGAATGGAGGCCCGGCTTAGTGTCCCTTCCTCTGCTTGCCCACAGGGGGACTCCGGTGGCCCCCTTGTGTGTAACAACGTGGCCCAGGGCATCGTCTCCAACGGAAACAGGTTTGGGACTCCTCCAGCAGTCTTCACCAGGATTTCCAGCTTCCTGCCCTGGATACGGAGAACGATGAGACGCTTCAAAGAGTGGGGGCTGGAGTGACACCCCCTGTCATTGACTCCCCTTCTCTGGGGCAGAGCCCAGATCCAGGGCGGTTCCCAGAGCCTTAATAAACATCCACATCTAGAGTGGAAATAACCAATTCCTCATCTGTTCATTAAACATGATTCAATACACAGCAAATGTGTGCCAGGACTGAGTGTGAGCTCCTCCAGGAAAATGGGGTCTCTTCCCCAGGACAAGTGAATCCCCATCGCCCCCATCCTGGGAGTCAGGGTGAGCTTCTTCTCTCCTCCAAGCCATGCATTCCTCCATCTCCCCTCCACCCGCTCTGGGGAGTGATGGAAGGACCTATCTCTTCCCAGAGTAAGGCTCCTTATTCTCCACCCTACCAGAGACTCTCCTTTAGGTATTAAAGTGTACGCCAAAACTGTGTGCCACTGGCGTGGGTAGGACAGGCAGATCAAAGGGAGAATTGAAGTTCCATACATTGCCCAATTGAACATATGGTTAACAATTCTCAAATCACTGAGAAACAATTAACTTTTAATAGACGACATTGAAACAAAATAGAGAATCATTGGGGAAAAAAGATAAAGTTGGGTCCGTACTTCTCATCATAATCCGAAATAACACTCAGATGGCATCAAAGATCTAAATGTAAAAAAATCAATCCATACAAGTACTAGAAGAAAAAAAATAATTTACTTTCTTAAAAATATCTAACAAAACACCCATATCAAAGCTGTGCTATTCATAATGCCCAAGAGATGGGAGCAACCCGAGTGTCTATGGACAGCCAGAGTTTCTGAAACCTTTACCCATACCAGCCCTGACTGTACTATAGACCAATGTTCTCATTTTCAATGTGATGAGGGTCTCCTTCTGGTTTCGTTACTCTAAAATTATACAGTACAGTATGTTGCCTAAAATAACTTGACTTTATACTAAAGATTAGCTTATGACTGATACATCAATATTATATTCAAATAATAGATTTCTGAAGTCACATAGCTTAAAACCGTGCTTTTAACACGTCAAGGTAACTGTAAAGAATCAGCTGGGAAGTTATTCTCTGTTCATCAAAATGGCAATTACTCCTCGCAGTGTGACATTTCCCACCTGAATTTTTGTAGTTTCCATAATCTTGAATAATCACTGAACACATGTCAAAGCAACTGATATGCAGAAATGCTTTGGTAAATTTGATCATTCTTCTATAGCTATTTCTTGCCAGAAACTCATTTGCCTAACATTCAGTGTAAGTCATTTATCAACAAAATTTTAATCAATAATACATCTTTGAAATTACTCAGTCATTTTTCCTATATTTGCTCCCACCTAGCCATAGGAATTCTCTCTTGCTTGTATGTTCTGGGGGAAAACAGTCTCATTGTTAAATGTTTGCATTGGCAGGTGGAAAGAATACTTGACGATGGAGCGGGGAGGAGAGAGCTGTGGAAGAGCCCTCGTCCAGCCCTTCCTCTCTGTGACATTTACTTAGAGCCCCAGAGCAGCGCCCAGGTCAGGACTCAGTCCCCAGGAAACTCCCAGGGCAGACCCACTCTCCTCTAAGCCTCTCCCTGCCAGTCAGCACTTCCAAGGCAGCTCTCTGCCTCCAGCGGCCCTGCCAGAAACGTTTCTACAGACCTCACCGTGCTCACCTCCAGAGGACAATTCCCTTCATGACCATCCCAGAAGCCACTTCCACCACCTCTCACAGCTCAGCATCCTCCCCTGATAAGTAAACCGCAGCAGCAGAGCTTTGGCAAGAAACCATTTTGCACACCAAAAACTAGAGGAAAAGAGCACAACTCCTCCCACTTTCTTTCTCCACTTTCCACCCCTGTGCCTTGGAAGCCTTACTGACTTGTCTGGAAAGTCACAAAACCATGGCAAGCTCATGGACAGAAACCCCACCGGGAACTTCTCTCCTGACCCCATAGCTCAGGCAGACTTCCGGTCCTCCAGAGGCCTGGTGCCTGTGCCTTGGGGCAGAGCGTCAGAGTCAGGAGAAGCTAGCCACTGGCGATTTGTCATAACTATAGCAACATCACAGAAGTGAGGTCTGGTAACCTTGATAATGGTTGTCTGAGTTTGTCTGGGAAATGGTAGGTGCCTCAGGAGAAAGCCACCTGAACCTCGGGTTGGAGAAGAGAGGGCAGCCTAGGACTGCCTAAGGAAATGTCTTTCTTACAGAAATGTGAAAAAACTCTCAGAAGTGGATGAAATCTTCCAAATACATT